AATTGAGCAGAGATTTTAGCAACAAAATTATCCATCGACGTGCTGGTCTTGGCCTGCGTTTGTAATGTTGCCCAAAACACATAGCCATCAAAGATCGGGGATCTAGTGAATAGGGTGGAGGCAGCGCGTGGGAGCCTTAGTGAGTTCCGGGTATTCCGTGTTTCGGAGAACCAATTATAAGCCTGCATATGAAAGGGTATTTTATTTAGTAATATTTTATGTATGAGAACACAAAGCTGGTACTTATGTCGAGTGGAAAGGGGACTGATCTTGGCAATTTCGTAAAGACTAGCGGAGGGAAAGCGACGATCTTTGCTAAATAAGATTTGAAGGAGCATGCGGTTATGGGTTTCTAGCTTGTTCAATACAGTAGTAGTTATGCCAGACCAAGCTGTATCACAGTAGTCAAGTAAGGGCAATATATAGCAACGATAAAACAAGCTTTTGCAAGAAAGAGGAAGATGTCTACAGTGGGCTTGAAGAGCCCCAAGCATGGAGCTTGTGCGGTTGCAGACATACTGTAGTATCCCTGCCCGACCAATACGGAAGTAGTACGGAACTAATACGGAGCTTGCCTGATGTATATTTAGTGTATCTCCGTATGTAAGCGTACGTCGTCTGCTGCATAAAAGCGGCTGCGCATTTCTGTTTTGATGAAGATTAGATTAGATTAGATTGGATAGCAATGAAAGCTAACTCGAAGAATAAGGATTCAGCCTCTAGGTGAGCACCGGAAAGAAAGTTATTTATTTTGCCGCTTCTTCTTTCACTAACGATTATATCTCAGGTGTGTACTTGAAAGTAGAATAAAAGTAATTCTTGTTGATTTCACCGCGCCTACCACTCGGCTAACCATTACATTGGTGGCAGCGGTGTAGTTTAAAATAGAACGACGTGATTCGACCCCAGACCCCCATGGCTCAACCTGCTGCGGCTCCCTGCGACGAATCAAGATGAGAATCATGTTTCTTGCCTTCCTGGGCTTGGCCCTGCTTATTAGCTTGCCGCACAGCCAGGGTGCTAGCGTGGATCACCCTTCTCTCCGCACGGCACACACTGGAGACTCTGATGGCGATTCCAAGCGACCCGCTACCTACATGTATACTACCGGTGGTGATGGCGAAGCTGATGAGGACGACAACAGGCAGGCTGGTACCCAAGACAAGGAGGGTATTCCCCAAGACCAGCAGCGTTTGATTTTCGCCGGCACGCAGTCGGAAGCAGGAGCCCACTCTTCACTTGGTACTTCGCCTCCGTGGTGGGATGCAGATTTTCGTCAACACTATTCCTGGCTACACCATCACTCTTTACGTCGCGCAAAGCGATGCTATCGACAATGTGAAGAACACGATTCAAGACGAGGAGGGAGGTCAATCAGGTCATTTGTCTGACGCCGAGCTAGCCGCTCTGAGTGACCGGCTCCACCAAGATGAAGATAAAACCTGGCTTGCTCTCCGCCGTAGCTCCAGCCGCCGCCGTGGTTACTAACGCTGATTCCAGGTATGGCATTTTCTTTCCTGTCTTCCTTCAGTCTCCCTGTTCTCTTCATTCTTCCTTTATGCGAGTGTGTGAATCCAGTTTAGTTTGGTAGGCGTCTGATCATGGTGAGCCACGGCTTACCCAGCTAACGTGGGACAATGTGTGTGACAACGCCCCTTATAGTTATAGTGTATTCAGTTAGGTTTTTGAACTGCGATGTTCCTGGCGGGTTGTGCCAGCGTTGTGCAGCAAGAGTGCTGTAGTTTTTCAGGTCCTATTTGGAGGACAGTTCTTTCCCCTTTTGACCCCGCGAGATGGTGTGAACTTGGTGTGCTTTTACTTCTACTTTATGATTTGTTATCAGTTCATTTCTTCTGTCTACTCTAAACGTTATCATTTCCGATATAATTTGCCATCTTTCGGTTGACGCTGTGTTCGTAACTCTTCACTAATTTTTTGAAAATCACGAGGGCGTGATAATCTGTAGGAAGGGAGGGTGTAGTATCCCTGCCCGACCAATACGGAAGCAGTACGGAACTAATACGGAGCTTGCCTGATGTATATTTAGTGTATCTCCGTATGTAAGTGTACGTCGTCTGCTGCATAAAAGCGGCTGCGCATTTCTGTTTTGATGAAGATTAGATTAGATTAGGTTGGATAGCAATGAAAGCTAACTCGAAGAATAAGGATTCAGCCTCTAGGTGAGCACCGGAGAGAAAGTTATTTATTTTGCCGCTTCTTCTTTCACTAACGATTATATCTCAGGTGTGTACCTGAAAGTAGAATAAAAGTAATTCTTGTTGATTTCACCGCGCCTACCACTCGGCTAACCATTACAATACTGCACATGGGGTGACCACGACAATTTAGAGTCAATATTAACGCCAAGATGCTTATGCTCTTCAACAATACGAATAGCAACACTTGAAGAAGGAAAACAAAGTGGCAGGGAAGGGGGAGAAGGGGAAATGTACATAGCTGCCGTTTTATCAACGTTTGGCTGGAACTTCCAATCATGCATCAAGGTTATAACTTTCCCAATGCTATCTTGCATGGCTTCGCGCAGTCGTATAGGGCAAGCATTGGAGCAAAGCAGAGCTGTGTCGTCAGCGAAAAGGCTGACACCAGGGGCAATATCGGAGAGGTCATTAATATACAGGAGAAATAGCAGTGGCCCAAGGATTGAACCCTGGGGGACTCCAGAAGTAACGGGTAAAGGCTCCGATAACACAGTTGAGAGGCGTACAAGCTGATGTCGGTTAGAGAGATACGACGAGAGCCAGCCGATAGCCTTGCCATCAATGCGATATACTGTTCGCAGCTTAGGTAAGAGACCCCTGTGCCAAACAGTGTCGAAGGCCTTTGCGAGATCGAAGAAAATTAAACCAACATGGTTATGGGCGTTCCGGGCGATGTGGATGTCTTGCACGAGGCGGGTAACCTGGTACCTGGTGGAGTCACCCCGACAAAAGCCCGACTGTGCTGGCGAAAGTGAAATGCGAACATGATCATAAATCATTCAAGGGCGTCGGAACCGCACCGGCCGGGGCGGCCATGGCCGCCCCACTTTTTCGGCCTCTTTTTTTTTTTTTTTTTTTTTTTTTTAGCACACTGCAACAAAGCGCGATGATCTCAGCGCAAACGTGGCAAATCCTTGTCCCCGATCGTGGTTTGTTGCAGAATCAAAAGTCCATGTACACTAAAATGGCACCAAATGCCTGGGAATGCTTGCAATTGGCTTCAATTTTTGATTTTTTTCCCAGGGGAGGGTAATGTTTGTCCCCGATCGTAGCATCTTCTTGGTTTTTTGCAGTATCAAAAAGTCTTTCATTGTAGTTACCGTACACTGAAATGGCACCAAATGCCTGGAAATGCTTGCAATTGGCTTTAATTTTTGAAATTTTTTCCCGGGGAGGACCCCCCGACCCCCCTTCCATGGCTGCCCCACTTCCAAAATCGTTCCGACGCGCCTGATGATGTCATATACAACACGTTCGCACACTTTTGTTAAGATAGAGAGCAATGCGATAGTTGCTGGGGGTGGTGCGTGGTCCTCTATTTTTGTAGGTGGCCACGACTACCGCAGTTTTCCACATGGCTGGGAATTTTCGTTCGCGAAATGACATATTCAAAATAATTGACACAGGATAGGCAACAGACGGAGCAAGAGCTCTCCAAACTTCGTTGGTAATTCCGTCTTGACCAGGAGACTTGCCAGTTTTCAGATTACGGAGATATTTCCTCACTTGGGCTGTACCAGTCGACAATGATAGGAGGGACGCCGGTATTGAGGGTGAAGGGGTGAGTGGTGGTATAGGCCACGTAGGGTCGTCAGGAAGTCCAAACGACGTAAACTGCGTGTTCAATATGTATGCTATGTCTGCGGGATCTGTTGCTACCGTGCCGTCTGAAGCTGTCATTGATCGGATCGGCTCCCGACTACAGTTCTTAAGGAGATGGCGGAGAAATTGATGGAGACTAGGGCGATCATGGGAAGACAGGGTGGCATGAACCGACTGTACATACTCACGATGGAGGGTACGTGACGAACATTTCACTTCGTTACGCTTGCGCTTAAAGGCAATGAAGTTTTCAGTGGTTGGATACTTCCTATAAATGCTATACAAATCTCGCTTCAGTTTCACAGCACACCTGAGGTCCGGAGTGATCCAGGGTCGGGATGCATCTCGCATAGTAGGACGAGGCCTAATTTAGTGTCCTGTCCGCGGAATAACTATGTAAGGCAACAGATGACGATGGAATGCTGACTGTAGTAAAGCATCAAACAGGACAATGGCATCATCAACATCAGAATGCCGATGAAGTAATGACCAGTCCAACCTGGATAAGTCTTCATTCACAACCTGCCAGACACGGGTAGGTACTTGTTTATACCTGTACTGAGCCTGGGGATGGAGGGACGATTTAGCAGTCGCTTGTGGTGTCGAGCACGATGCATAGTTGAGCGTGCAAACAACCTGCAGATGATCAGATGTGCCAAGAGGAGCTGCGTGGTCGACTGAGAGGACATGTCGGGGTATGTTGGTTACCAACAAGTCAAGACATGAGTTGGCACCCGCTGATGAAGTGTATGTTGGGAAACTCACTAGTTGTTGGAGCCCAAGCATTGAAAAAACTGTCTGTAGGTTGGTACCGGCTGTAGAGGTGGAGTCAGAAGAGCACCAATCATTATGTTTGGCATTAAAATCCCCCGTCAGGAAGAAGTCACACTCGTCATAGCAAGAGGACTGTATAGCATCGACCAGCATATGCGAGAAGAAGGACAATTGTTCCGCCGTTTGGGAAGTGGGTCGATACATGCAACATACAAGAATAGGGTTAGGGGTGCATTGAGACTTAACTTCCACCCAGGCAGATTACAGCCCTGATGCTGCAGGTCCGGTCTGTGGAGAATATGCTGAAAAGCATCAGTCCGGACAAGCACGGCGACACCACCATATCCTCTAGTGAAAGAGTGTGCATTTCTGTTCTCGTGTGCTGGTCTGTCTCTTCTGAAACAGGAATAGCCCGGTACATGCACGGAAACAGATGGGCACAGCCAGGTCTCCGTGAGGCAAGCAATACTTGGCTTAGTGCTCTCCAGAACAATCGAAAGTTCAGCTAATTTATCGACGAGAGACCGACAATTCATGGTTATCAGCGTTATGTCGGATTCTGATCTGGGGTAGAATGGGGTAGCATGCAAGTTGAGGGAAGACATAGACAACATGATTATGACGAGGAACTATCACCACCACGTTCAGTCACGTTGGTACCGTCGGCAAAGCGCCACTTACGGTTGTTCTCGTCACACATTATTGAATGTATATAAATTATTGATTTGGCATGGTTATTCTTCAGTCACGGCTTTCCTCTGATGATTGTGACAAGAAAATCGATTTTGGTAAACCTTCATGACTTTGTTGTAGTGTGGCGATGACAGCAGAATTTGTTCTCTTTATTTTTATTATTATTATTATACGCATTCCCGCGTTGAAGTGTGGCAGCAGTATGCTGCGTCCACAGCTTCGCTTATTCAGAATGGCTTGGGTGATAGGAGAGGGGAGAGAAAGCAATAAAGCAACCAAGATCTATGAAATTGGTCACAATAACATGAAGAGAACCAACCTACATATGCATGATTGCACAAGAATGGAAACGACCAAAATTAATATAATGGCTATAATAATCGTGCCACAAAAATTCTCTTTATAGCTATTATAAAATAATAATTATATAAATAACATCTTCATTAGTTTGAGGGAAAGAGACAAACGGGAAAAGTCTGAAGAAAAAATTGACTGTCACCACCAGGACTCCAGGAATATAAATAACACTAATAAGAAACTAAAAAATTACCTGACCAGATTCTCACCATCAGTTACGTGAGTTTTTCAACATGGCGCAACCTGCACCAGGTTTGGCGCCATGGTGCTTTCTCTCTCCCTCTTCACTCGTGCTGTGGTCTTGCGCTACCGTCGCCTTTAATGACTCGGTAACACTGCCCTGTTATTGCCTCTATTCTCGACTATATCCGTTAACTCTCACAAAGCAACTCAATACCATTGTCCCAATACCACGTCTTCACTTCGCACATATGCACTAACTTCCACACTAGCATCAAATATCTAGGCCTGCTCGTAGAGAATTCGATAGTGAATGCTGCTGTCTGATGATCGCTCTGATGCGTGAAACTTTAAGTTACAGCTAACACAGCCTTTCGTCTCTGTTGTGTGTGTAACACTAATAATAATAATTATGTCGGTGGAGCATTTTTAATTGTGGTCAGGCCCTGTGGAAATTTTCGGAGAAATTCTCGAAAACCTGCGCAATAACTTGCAGATAACAACAAAACATGTGGCAAAAATGCCGAATGATGCGGAATCTGATGGGAATTCGCGGAATTATTTGCAGAAATTATTTGCTGCATCCGTAGAATCGCTATGTGCGCAGTAGATCTACTAGTGAGCAGTACGAGTCGTAATGTGCATAGCCCTGCGTGATTATGGAAGTACTGCGTGAACAGTTCTTAAAAATACGAACTTAGAAGTTGCGACTTCGGCGGTAATGTCATGAAGTTGGTTGCTCCAACGAGGAGCACACGCTTCTTGCCGAACTTGACACTTGACTGACTCACGACTGCCATCCGGAGCACACCAGGAGCACGTCGCACCTTCCGCTCGGCAAACCTGAAAGAAAGCACCACTCCCTGCTCAATACACAGTGTTTCGGGAAATTCACCCCTCATCAGTTGAGCTTGAGTAGGCTGAGGAAGATTGTGCCTGAAAAGCACCACTTATATACTGCTCTCCAGGCCAAACCATCACCAGGGATACAAACTTACAGAGACGCTTTGTTTCCAGCGCGACAAACACCTCGTGAAGCCCCAGGTAGCAGCGTGAGTCAGAGTCGCTCATGGAGTTGTGCTAAACAGACGTTGAGAGCCAGTATAGCTATTCACAACGCTGTGACCTCCAACAACTAGTCGCACGTCCGCGTGAGGGACAACAATAATACGAACTTAGAAGTTGCGACTTCGGCGGTAATGTCATGAAGTTGGTTGCTCCAACGAGGAGCACACGCTTCCTGCCGAACTTGACACTTGACTGACTCACGACTGCCATCCGGAGCACACCAGGAGCACGTCGCACCTTCCGCTCGGCAAACCTGAAAGAAAGCACCACTCCCTGCTCAATACACAGTGTTTCGGGGAATTCACCCCTCATCAACCTCTGGGAGACCCGAGATGATGGCGTTGTCTCGGATTTCAATCTGCCTGCGGTCCTCTTGAACAATCTCTCGTACCGTATTGCATAGTTGGGGTACGGGTAAGGGTTTTGGGCAGGTGGTACGACAGGGCATGCCTCACAGGGGGTCCGGTTTGGGGTTTCGAGGATCTGAACTCGTCTATGCAGGTCTTGGCAGGTCTTCTTTATGTCTTCGCTTGCAGCTGCTGAGCCACTTGTATTCTGCTTCAAGCTGTCCATGTTGGTGGATAATTGGAACATAGCTTGGTCCACATCTTTAACTACATTGTCAACCCGATTTGCAAGTGAACGTAGTGCGGCATTTTGCTGATCATTGCTGTTGGTGGCAGCTTGTCTTGTTATCTCTGTCTCATCATACTTGGCAGAGAGGAATGCCACGCTTTCCTCTAACTCCCGTACCGTATCATGGTGTGATTTCTCTACCGTATCAATCCGGGTTTCGAGGGTTGCAAGACGTGCTTCCACTGAGAGTTTCAAATCTGATATTTGAGAACAATTATTTTCAATAGCTTTGAGAATTGTTGTCATTTTGCCATCCAATAAAGTGCTCATACATGTACAAAATTGCTCAACAAGGTGGTCTGCACCTACAATTCCCTCGGTAGGTGTCGCTAGGTGGGAGGGGAAAGTGCGACCAGGGACGGGTGAGAAGGCGGGCGTATTGCTACTAATTGAATAATCCGTGTCAGATGGTTTCCTTGGACCAAGGAATGACTGGCTTTGAGGTGACTTCGGCTGCGTTGTCACTATCTCAGCATCAGGTCTTGGTGATGTCTCCACACTCCGGGTGACATGCTTCCGTTTGAGAGAGTCCTCCCCTGGTGGAGCTCCTGCCAGAGCGGAAAGCACCCGTGTCAACCCTTCGAGCGACATGTTCGATTTCGAATTGACCACTGAAACCACCACAGCACAGTCCCACAGACACTGATATTCTGTTCTTACACTGCTACTATTACATCTACAGAAAGGTTAACTCTGGCTTTGACGTTATACACTGGCTTGGGAACGATACATACAGAGCTTCAAATTTTGCATCCGTATCACAGATTGCACCATTAAAATAAAATAAAATAAAATAAATAAAAATACGACGAGGAGACAATAATTTTAATATGGCAATAAGTAGGACGAGCTGAAGCGACATGTGGACTACTTTATTAACAATGTAAGCGATGGAGACGATGCAAGAAACAACCTAAAGGGTTAACGTGTGGTAAGCTTTGGTCCTGCGGACACGGTTCTCTACACCACCTGGACAAACACCATTGTCCAGACAACGTCTAAGGAACACTACGTTAAATGCAACACTACGATAATGAAATCGTGACTTCAGCGCATGGTTCAGAATATCTATCTGAGTCTGGCTATATCTCGACCTGAAGTATTTAAAAATTCGACGAGGAGACAATAATTTTAATATGGCAATAAGTAGGACGAGCTGAAGCGACATGTGGACTACTTTATTAACAATGTAAGCGATCAGTATACAATCATTTGGTTTCTAGTACTGACTGTTGTCGTACTTATTCTGATTCCTGTTTTTCTGTTTTGTGCCGTGCTCGTCATGGTTATCTTTTGCAGTTACAAGTTTTGGAAGCTGTTTGTCAGCGCATTCATAAGCCGAATTTGTGTGTCCAGAAAGATAGTGTTATTACCCTAAAATTGTTCAAATAATGTTCTGTTGTGTAGTGTGGCAACGTTGTTGCCACTTGTGCCTAAATGTGTTTTGTCACCTTCTTGTTTATTATTGTTATTATTATCATTCGTTCTCACTTTTTTTGTTTTTGTTTTTTGTTGCTGATACACACTTGTCACGCTTAGTTCTTACTTGTATACCCTTGTTTTCTGCACACTTTTGTGAGAAATCGCACCTCGATATTCTAGTGCTGTCATTGTATCGTGTCACCCTACCTTGATTGCTATATTATTTCCTTTGTTCTCATTTTGTTCTTTAGTACAACGGTGATTCCTGAAGAGTGTTGTACGAAAACTTGTTCGAATCATCTTTTTTTTCCATTGCCCTTTTTCTTCTTACATGTATTTTTCCTTACCCTTTAGGTTGTTTCTTGCATCGTCTCCATCGCTTACATTGTTAATAAAGTAGTCCACATGTCGCTTCAGCTCGTCCTACTTATTGCCATATTAAATAAAAATAAATAAAAAAATAAAAATATTGCAAGCAGCAGCAATGGTATCTGGGTTTCTGATTAGGGCATAGAGTGTTATATCGTCCTCATAGACAGCTAGACTGGAGCCTGGGGCTAAACACTGTTCTGCATCGTTTACATATAACAGGAAAAGAGTGGGACCTAGGAGGCTACCCTGGGGCACTCCAGCCTTGATCGGGAACAGTGAGGAGGACTGACCGCCAACAATTACAGTCAGATTTTGGTCATGGAGATACGACCTTAGCTAAGCCAGGAGTGGGCCGTGGATGCCACATTGCTGTGCCTTCGCAAGGACATCTGTGTGGGAAACCTTGTCGAATGCCCGGCAATATCAACTGCCAGGGCATGCACAAGACCATCGCCAGCCAGGGTAGTGGCCCAGGAATGCTGGAGAGCCGTCAGTAGGTCACTTGTGCCCAGTCCACGTCAGAAGCCAAACTGGGACGAGGAGAAGAGTTGATGGGTTTCCAGGTTCACAAGCTGCAGATTGATGATAACTTCCATGATCTTAGAGATGATCGTCAGGAGAGATATAGGCCGGTAGTTCTTCATCATGGATTTGGGTCCTTTCTTGTGCACTGGAACGACACGGGCAATTTTCCATGATTGGGGCTGGACTCCATTTGCAAAACACAGGCGAAACAATCTAGCCAGCGGATGTGCTAGTTCAGCTGCACACTCCTTGAGTACTCGTCCTGGGATCTCATCTGGACCAGTGGATTTTGATGTGTTGAGACGCTTCAGGCACTGTTGGACTTCAGAGACGCGGAAGCGGATGCGCTTCAGGCCTGGAGTGGTAGTGCGGGGTGTTGCTGGTAACTCAGCATTGTCGATGT